TCCTTCTATATTTCCAGGTGACTATGCTGCACCCTAGTGGTGGAATTTAAGCTTTTTTTCCATCTGTGTCTCAGGCTTCCAGCTCTGTATGATTTTTGCGCATATCCTAGGCCTCCTGCTCAATACTGTGCTGCTCCTCTGCATACCCTATGCTCCCTGCCCACATACAAGCAGGTTGGTCCATTGAACAGTCGTTTTAGAACTATCCAATCAGGGAATAATAAGTTATTTGGCAATTTAGTGATGGCTCCTAATAGCCTGGTCCCACCCCACCCCATATTTATAGAGTAAGTTCTTGAGAGATAAAATTTAGCATAAACATAATTTTCCCTAGCCTGACAAAATACACCTTTTTTGGTCATTTTCTTTTTAACTGAAATGTCGCCTCCTCGGGAAACCATGTCTTATTATCCATTCAATGTAGAGCAGCCACCAAATCACTGTTAATTACATCACATCACATTTTATTTTTCAGCAGAGCATTGATCAGCGTCGGACATTGTTCTCATTTATCAGTTTGTTTATTGACCGTCTCTTCCCTGCAAGAGGAGAACAAGATCCAGTACATGGTTAGGCATGTAGTAGACTCCAGAAATATTTGTTAGATGGATAGATGAATGGCTATCAATGCTAAATGGGATGTTAAAGATTACTCAGTCAAAACCTCTGATTTTGCAGATGAGTAAGTGATGCTCAATGCAATAAAAGAACTTGTTCAAGGACTCAAAATTAATCATTGGCTCAGCAGGACAACAACAGCTCCGAGTCCAATTACCTTTCTACTACAACTTAAATTAGGAAGGAAGAAGTTCTGTTTAAAAGCCCTAAGATACCTAAAGAGAAAAGCTCATTGACTATATACAGAATAAAGTGAAAGGGTGGGGGGCAGGCTTTGTGATGGGAATGGATTGGTCAGAGGAGGGATTTTTATAGGTAGAAGCCTAGGATATTGCAAAATTCATCTGCTTAAAAATAATTTGGGCATAAAAATTAATGTGAATTATATTCCTTTTATTTTGTGATTTTTTTCTGCTTTTGCTCTCAAAAATTTAGCATTTTCATTATTGCTTCAAGGGATTTTCACCTTTTGGGGAACAGATACTATTTTAATTTTCTCTTACTTCTTAGAGTCATGGAGCCTGTTTGGTATAGTATGCCAGGCATTTCTTGTTTATTGTGTCTATTGTCTCTTCTTCCATCATTCCTTTATTAAACTTATATGTGTTAAATAGAGCCCAAATACTAAAATGCTAAATCATGTTATTGCGTTCTTCTGAATTATTTTCCTCCATATCTATCTTCTGGAATATCCTTACCCCTCTTTTTCCCCTGGTAAATTTCTACACCTCCTTTAAAGCCCAATTCACAAATCACCCCTTCTAAAAGGTCATCCTTGAACATCAACCCTATGTCTGTTGAACATTGCTGCGGAACAACAATTTTCAGACAACAATGAGCATTTATTTCTTGTTCATGAGTTTGGGGATGACTGATCTCAGCTGGGTTTAGAGTGGTAACTCTGCTTCAAGCTCCAGGTCTGTGGGCCTGTGTCAACTCCATGTGTCTACATGTCTCTCATATTCCTTCTGAGACATTCAGGTTAGCAGG